TTTATTTCACTTGGACTTTTTTATTGATCTATTCATTACCATTGGTGTCCATTGATTACTATTTCTAAACAATTCTTATCTGAACATTGTACTCAGCTGCAAGGCTGCTAAACTTATAATTTTTTTTTGTAATTTATTTTTTGTGATGGCAACATGAAAATGTTTCGATATATATGTAGGACAATTAATTATTTCTGAAAGAAACAAAGTCGCAAACAGCGGAGCTAGCTGTTTTATAATAATCTACATCATTAACATTTTATAAATTACTAGCGAGTCTGAGTGAATCCATAAAAATAGCCTATGTCATTCCATAGACTATCCGCCTCCGTAGTTGTGGATTTATAAGTTTTGTTTAACAATAGCCAAGGTTCGAATCCTGAACACAATATTCTTTATTAGCCATTTAAAAATGCGTTCAAAATTTACATGTTTTCATTCTCATTCAACTTGTCTATTTCCAACTAGTAATAATTTAGATTTGTTATTTTTTTATTCATGCGATACTAAATTTATCTTTCTCCTCTCAGGTGTTTAACAGTGATATACACTTTCACCATAAGTCGATGTATAGTATTACCTAGAAACAACAAACTTTTTATTATGAAAGCTATACATCTTAGCGATCCGCCTTGCGATTCTGTAACTCACTTTTCGAACTCACACAGCGGTTTTTACAGCGGCGGTCGCACTCAAATCAGTCGTAAAGCAGTCATTTTACGATTTGGCAATCTGATAAACAATAAACTACAAGCTCCCTCCTTATTAAAAAAAAAACAAAAAACACAAAATTCACGAATACCGGTTAAGCCATTTCGGAGCAGTTTAACTACAAACACCGTGACATGATTTTATATATTAGATTAATATTGTTTTGTAGATGCTAAAATTGATAACCAAATATAGTATGTAGTGTTAGTACATTAGGCATACGTTTGCCATTTGAACCCTTTTTAGTGTAAAAGTATTTAGACGATCGCGTGACGAATTCTACTAATCCACAATACTTGCCATTTAATGTCGCCAAAATGTAGGTGAATTTTTTACGATACGATTATAATATTTTTTATTCAGTCTTGGATTAACTTAAACTAAAACTTAAATATTCATTCTTCAGTATATTCCTTCGTACATAATTTCATATATTTTGTTAAATAATAATATTTTACAGAAATATGAAATGTGCCTATCAACTAAAGAAAAGTAATTATCATCGTAATCTTATCGAGCCTTTACTCTTTAGACACCTATTTTTCCTTCCTATCATTCTATAAATAGCTGGTATACTATGTTAACGTTCTGCACCATACTTCCTAACATCTTTTAAAACTCTTCAATTCATGAATTCGTGACATTAGCTTTTAAGTTTTTTTTGTATTATTTTAGATTAAGGTTGGTGATTCTATAATTTTTATAAGATTTGGTTATGCACTTCTTGCACTTTACTCATCATATTTCTTGTTTTTTTCTTTACTAGGGTTGCCTGGGATCGCTTCTTAGCGATAAGGACACCCGTTACATCCCTTATAATTTTTATGTATTGTTAAAAAAGCTTAACGCAAAAATAAATTCGCAGTTGTAATTGGTTTTGTACGTGGTATACGTAACTAAGCAATATGTGTAATGTCGTTCAGAGTGGGAACAAAGTAATATTTGATTCTATTCGGCATTTATTAAATTATTTGAATAATGTGTGGGCTTCATAAAGTGTTTGTTCTAATTTTAAATGCCAAGAGGTCGAGAAATTTGATCAAAGTAATACTTTCGACAAATTGTCTTGCAAAGTTTAGTAAAAGAATTTGTTATAACTGCCAATTCAAATTTAAAAAAACACTATATTCGTATGAAATTATTTTAGGATCCACTCAAGAATTCCGAAACTCTGTTATCTGTGATCTTTAATATATTTTCACTACAGTATATCTCGGAGTTCGGTATGCCTCTTGGTAAAGGCCTATTCTAACCCTTTCCACTATTTTCTATCCTTTGCGACTCTTCTCCATTTGTAGCCTGCTGTTAATTTGAGTTCGTCCTCCCATCTTTTGCGTTGTTGGCCTCTTCTTCGTTTTCCGTCTCTTCTACCTACCTACATGGCTACCATTCCGTCATTCAAAAAAAAAAGTTATTTAGTAAAGATTATATAAAGTAAACTTAAATAATTCATAGTTCATTCGTAATCTTAGTAGGTCGCCAGTGTAAATGTTTTACATTTGAAAATGTAAGCTTTAGTATTTTCTAGAACGTATTTAGATGTTACATTTATCACACATGATCTCTTTGCGATAATTCTGCAAGGGTTGTAACTTTATTGGATTTTTCGATACGTCTGTAAGTCTTAGCTTTTTAATTTTCTAATGAATAATATTATAGATAACTAGCCGTTTCGCGCCCGCTTTGCTGGACGAATTAAAATAAATTTTATGTTTCAAAAAATGAAGGAACGTTGGAATTTAATAAATAAATAGCCATACCAGCCAACAACCATCTAGGAAAAATTTCGCATCGAATGGTGGTAGTTTCATGTCGATACGATCAGTGGTTTAGGCGTGAAGGAGCCTCAAACGAAGACCATTTTTCTTTTATATATCGACAGTAGGAAAGCTTATTTGCTGTAAGTAGACATATTGCAATTGTTCACCAGAGCCAAAAACTTTATTAATTTCTGAAAAAAATTAATAGTGTCTGACCTATCCATGATATTGCTACCATTTTTAAAACATATATTTATTTAACTGCCAGTCACCATTTGCAATGTAAACTTTTTATCCAAAGTTACTATAAACTGTACGTGTTTGGCTAGTTACAGCAAACAGTTTTTAAAAATCACAAACCTTTAAAACGCTGTAACTAAGGGAAGAAAAATGTACCCGCGGAAATATTATCAATTTACAGGCGGGTAAATATGCTTATGTCAGGAAATTTATGTATTTGGGTACTTTTAATTGCAATTCAAGATGTAAGATTAGTTTATAATTATGATTAGATCTAGAAATGAGTGGGTCATTTGGTAATGTAATGTTTGGTTGAAATAAAATGTCGTAAATGGTAAAAAAAAAACCAAAACTGTAGGTTCCCTAAACTTGCTGTAAGTAAACGAATGTAAAAATCACACGCCGCTGAAATGCTGTAAGTAGCGTTAAGTTTTTAAATAGGAAGAAGTATTTGTAAAGAAAAAAATGCAGATTTTCTTTTGCTGTAAGTGCGAAATGTCTGAAATGACTAGATTTTGGTCTACATACAGCATTTAATCTTGCTAAAAATAATATAAGTACGGGCGTTTTCAACGGCGTATGTAATTTTTTTTTCATCGTAGAGAAAGGACCAGGTCATTGATGGGTTTTTTCTGATTCTAATGGCAGTTTTACTGCCTGTCACTTTAGGTATTTTGTCTACTTACAGCAAATATGCTTTCCTACGTCGATATATAGACTAGTATTAGGTTAGTTTATTACTCTCTTATTATGAGACAATGGACACTTGACATAATCTGTCAAAAACGTACTAGATTTTGACATACGAATACAGTTTTCGCGCAAAATTTCGACTGAATTGTTAGCTAAATTTCTACATTATAGACGACAATTCAGCACTTGCATTAGGTTATTAAGACAATGAGTACTTGATATAATCTATCATAAACTGGAATATTATGACGTAATGAATACATTTTTCGCGCTAAATTTCGACTCGGATCGGAATTGTTAGCTAAATTTCTACATTACAGACGAAAACATTTTCTACAAAATTGTATTTATTTTTAAAAGTTAAACAAAGAGTTTTTAGTAATTTTTTTAACTGATACAATTGTATAAGACCTGGAGGGTCTTATAAATATTATTATAGTTCTAAATTTTATAAATTTTGACATCCATTGACATTACGTAAGACTGCACGTGCTAACGTTCGATCGCTGCAGTAAATAATTCAACCCTGATGCTAATTTTAAAACACCATCGCCTTCAAAGAGTCTTTGGGTCACCTCAGTTCCTATGTAGGTCTCGTTTCCTCATTTATTCGAACTTACTTAGAGTTAAGTGCTTGAAGAAGGCGGAATCGTAAGTCGGTTAGTTTTAAGTGTTAATTAATTGTATTTTAAATTAAATGTATTTATTCGGTCTTGAAATCAGATTTTTATAACTGTTGGCAAGCAGGTCTTCTATGCCTGACACAGTTGATTTTAAAGTCTAAGTATCGCTTTTCTCACAATGTTTTCCTTCAGTATGAGGGAGTGTTAAATTACGCAGATAATAAAGTCTATTGGTGCAGACGAAAATCGAACGCACGACTGT